TGATTTCTTCTAATGGACGAGAGATGGTCGAGTGTCGATCTATGAACCTTCGGAAATAGTTTGCAAAGCCAAGAAAGTTCCTCACATCAGTTACTGACGACGGAGTTGGCCATGTTTCCACAGCACTTATCTTCTTGGGATCAGGGGAAATTGATGTGCCGTTGATTTTACGCCCCAAGAAGAGAACTTCTCCCACGCCGAATTCACATTTAGACTGTTTGCAATACAGCTCACTATTTCTAAGTGTTTCTAGAACTGTTTGAACATGATGCTGATGATCTTCCCAGGTCTTGCTGAAAACTAGAATGTCATCCAAGAATACTACAACGAATTTTCGGAGATGCGGTTGCAGAATAGAGTTCATGAGTGACTGAAAGGTGGCCGGGGCATTAGTCAGCCCGAATCCCATGACTCTAAATTGGAAGTGGCCGAACGGCGTATTAATGGCCGTCTTAGAAACATCCGAGTCTTGAATTCTGATTATTTTGATTGTACCCCGACCGCAAGTCCAACTTGGAGAAATATGCACTGCCCTGGATCGTGTCGAATAAGTCATCAATATTAGGAAGACAAGCTTTGTTTTTGATCGTAATTCTATTCAATTCTCGCCAATCGCACACCATTCTCAGAGTACCATCCGACTTCTTCACAAAAAACACAGGTGCACCGTATGGCGACTTACTTGGTTCGCTTAACCCTTTATGTACTGAAAAAATTGTACACAGACTGAATTTGATCTCGACTCACCTCAAATTCTACAACTATCTGGGTCATAACTTTAGTCTCCTTTTGACGATTTCTTCAATCTTGGGCTTCCTGGAAAGCTCGTAGCAAGAGGAACACATTGAGCCCACGCTTTCCGCCACGAAGGTCAAAACGCCAGCGCTACAGCCCAGCGTCTTAGCTGCAACGCCAATATTCCGACAGAAGTCGTCTTGCATCAGTCATTTCGCTCTCCTTGCTCGTAACAACTAACTGTTACTTCAAAAAAATTCACAAACTGCCATGAGTCCGTTTACCATTTTGAACATGTTTCTACGTCACTGCATGCCCAGAATGATGGGGAAATCCCTCTTTCAATTTTTGCGCGAGCGGCTATTGAGCGACATTTTCCGCGATTCGACTTTAGAGCTTCGTAACTCTGGAACCACACATCGGAGCGCTTCAGCGATTGTGTCAATGGACAGCTGGGAGTTTTCTCTTTGACCTACATATTTTATTTTTCGGATATAACCCAGGAACGACTGAGTTACGATCGATTGAAATTTTGAAAAGTTTCGATCCCAGGGGATCGAAAGTTGTACAGTCCGTACACAAAGGGTTAATCCCTTCTCAAGTAATTCTGACAGCTGTGACTGGAGCTCCTCCATCTCTGGTTTCGGCAAGTGGTAGGCGGGTCGAGACGTTGGTCTGGCTCCATCTTCTATCTGGATTTCATGGTTGACTGGTCTCTTCGGTGGAAGCTCATTCGGCAGCTCGTCTGGAAATAAATCCTGGTACCTCTTGAGCAGGTTCTGGATGTCCTGTTGCTCTGATTCCTGGAGTTGTGGCCCGGAACGATTCTCCTCGTTTGCAGCAGTGACCCATGCAAGAAACCCCTCGGCTCCACTCCTCAGGGCATGACGAGCTTGTCGGCCACTGATAAACATACTTTCCACAGTTGGCCGGTCGGCAGTCGGCGGGTTAGCTGAAGGCAATTTGGCAACAAAGGGCTCACCGTCCAACTGAACTTTGTTCGTACGGAAATTGATGCTGGGGTTGTTCCTTGTAAGCCACGGCTTGCCAAGAATAGCGTCGTAGCGAGTCAGGGGATAAACAGTAAAGTGCTGTTCCTCACTGAAGCCCCCGACTGTCACCTTTAGCGTGCGTGTGGAAATCTGCGGGACCTCGCTGGTCGAGCCGTCCGCCAATGTTACGCTCAGCATTTCTGAGCTTGCATCCGTGTCAAGATGATGCTTTCGAACAAAACCGTCTGCAATGAAGTCATGCGTTGAACCGGAATCTATCAGCATCACTGCACGGCGACCGCCGATCTTTCCCTGTATGCGCAGTAGGTCGTGTTCGGGTTCATTGCCGACGCTGACATTGCTGACATGACACCTTTCTGCAACGGGACAATTTCCTACAGCTATGGGTGTCTCCGGCTCCGTAGGTTCCTGGAGAGCAACGTCTTCAACCTCCAGAGCTCCGAACCGGTTAGCGACTGGTACCGGCGTGGGTGCTTGGGTCGTCGCCAGTAAGCGCACCCCCTTTCTTACTGGCGACCAGCGTTTGGGTAGCGCTGTCCACCCTCAGTACAGTCTTTAGCGAGGTGGCCTGGCTTCCTGCAAGCAAAGCAGTGTCCCATTGCTCGCAGTTGGACACGCTCTTGGTCCGTCAGCTTGCGGAGGCCCTGACCACGGAAGCTGGGCACGGAACGCGACTCTCTACTGGCTGGTGGCCCCGACGCCGGTGGCCCTGACGACTGCTCCACGGTGTTTGCTGCCATGACAGCTTGCTCCAGGGTACGTGGATGCTCACGCATGACCTGTCGCTGGATGTGCGGCACTAGACCCCTGACGAACAGCAGCGCTCTGGTGTGGTGGTCGATTTCCGGCACTTGCAGGCTGAGGCGAGTGAAAGCAGCAATGTATGCGTCCAGCGACCCACGCTGCGCTGCGGAAATTAGTCCCATACGCGATGTTTCCTCAGTGTGCCGTGGTCCATACACATCGCCAAGTGCCGCTTTCAGAGCAGGCCAGTTGGAAAACACTTGGTTAGCTTCCAATACCGCTATCAACCAAAGACGAGCGTTTCCAGTCAAAAATCCTGCCGCGTAGTCGACCCTCTGTGCCGCATTTGGCAGTGCCAACGACCGTAGGGCCATGTCCATTGCAAACGTCCATTCTTTGAATGTAACGGAATCTCCTCCAAACACAGGCGGCTCTTTCGTAAGGCGGGGTGTTGGCTCCCATGGTTCCGAGTTCGGATGTATCGTTCGGTTTTCTTGGCTAACGCGCTGAGCGGTCTTGATATCGTTCATCAGCCGAACGACGAGTACGAGGAGCGTAAGCAGAGCGATTAGAACACCTGCCAAAAGCAGAGTAGTAACCATCCTCTTGCTACCAGTGTAACAGGTTTAATCGAACTTGAAACGTAAGAGGCCTGGTTGAGCGTGCCTCGACCAGTTATATGCAAAAGGTGATAGTCTACATGTGGCAATGGCGCCAATGAAGGTGCTAATAGACAGGCGTAAGACGCATGAGGTGCGAGGGAGTGTAAAGTCATAGCGAACAGGGGAAAACTGTTACAGCGCACGCCACAAGTGTAAGGTTGAGCGTGCAAAGCCGGTTGCGGAGCAGAAAGGTGCATGCCAGTGTGGAGAGTGTGGCTGCTGGTTGAAGTTCCGTGGGGGTCTGGCAAGGCACAAGTGTACTTACCCCCAGTCAGCAGTCGGCGCGCCCCTGCCGCTGCCTGCTTCTCCGCTGTGCTGCGCCGCTCACTGCCAGGCTTGTGACCGCTGCTTTGCGTCTACACGTGGCTGCGCCCGTCATCGCTGCTCACGGACTTGTAGTCGTCCGACCGTTCAGGACCGTCAGGGTTTCACATGTGTTTGCGCCTGCTCCCGCCGATTTCGCTTACCACATCACCTGGATCGTCACAGGGCTGTGTGCTCCTTCTCTCTCTCAGCTGCCCCTCCGGGGCCCACGTAACCTTCATGACAGTGGCTCAACAGGACAGGACAGGACAGGATGTACATGTGTGTGTGTGTATGTCTGTGTGCGAGCTACTTCGGTTGGTTGGTACACTTATGCCTGGTTGTGTTGCGTCTGTTGCCAACAGGCTCGGCTGCTTGAAGGTGTGTTGTTGTATCTGCCACTTTGGTGGCTTCAGGGTTCGTATACTTTCTATTTGAAGTATACGTACCTCTTAACCATGCACTGCTTCTGCCTAGATTTAAACAAAATTTAAAAAATTAAAAAATTAAAAAAAATCTGATGGGTTTGCGTACCTGCTAGATTAACTCCTGTGTAATCAATGGTGCTAGTGATGCTTAGATCAGATCCATTCTGATTTAGCCACCCACACTAGTAGCAAGTATTACCTTCGCTGGGGGCAGGGGTGACTGCAATTGGATCCCGGGACTTATACCCTGATGCCGTCAATCCTTTTTCTGCAACTTGTCCTCACCCACTTACTGAGGTGTGGCGAGTCATCTTTCCAAGATTCCTTTTGAGTCTCTCTCCCCTCTCCCGGGGAGACCCACGTGACCAGTTTTGGCAGTGAGCAACATGTACAAGTACAAGTATGTATGTGTGTGTTTGTGTGTGTGTGTGTGTGTGTGTGTGTGTGTGTGTGTGTGTGTGTGTGTGTGTGTGTGTGTGTGTGTGTGTGTGTGTGTGTGTGTGTGTGCGTCCCATATGGTGCTGTGGTATGTGCAGCGATTTCCAATAATTGATAGGTTGCGGGTTCGATACCCGACAATTATGGTCACACACGTCTTTCTTCTCTTTCTCAGACTCTTCCTGACTTTTCTTTCATTCTCCTGGGTGGTTACCAACAGCCAGTGTATGCTGGAGTATGTGGTGTGGTGTGGTGTGTGTGTAGAAAAAGAAAAAGAAGAAAAAAAATGGAAAATTGAAAAATAGGGATTCACTGGCCAGAAAAGGTCACTTCAAACAGCTGTGTGGTGGATACCAGGCTAAAAATAGTGGCGGTCAATTCATCAGCCTTGCAAGCTGTTGAATGGTGTAATCCCAGCACAAGTTGCTATGTCTAACATAGCTGTTCGCTTTCATCACTTCCGCAATGGGCATGTATGAGGTCTGAGGTGTGTATGTGTGTGTGTGTGTGTGTGTGTGTGTGTGTGTGTGTGTGTGTGTGTGTGTATGTGTGTGTGTGTGTATGTGTGTGTGTGTGTGTAGGTGTGTGTATGTGTGTGTGTGTGTGTGTGTGTGTAGGTGTGTGTATGTGTGTGTGTGTGTGTGTGTGTGCACACCCACATGCATACTTACTTGGTTGTTGACACACACTCGGGAGTTTGGCCTCGCATCCGACATTATCCCAGGATTCACCGTTGGTATCGTGTGAAGGTGCATACCACATTGATACACACAGTTGTAAGATCTGCTCAGGTGGACTTGGCTGATGCTTGGCCCATTTCGAGTATGTAACCGTTTGGTTATCATCAATTGATACAAACTTCATTAGTGGGTGAACCAAATATGATCGAAAGCCAATCCAGTTTGTAGTTCGGGCGGGTTTAGTACTGAAGACACACTGAAGCTCAGCGTCGCTACGTGGAATTGCTAAATTGCTGCCCTTCCCAAGGCTCTTGCAATAGTTCGCAGCTTCCGCAAAGTTTCTATCATGGTGGTCAAACGTATATTCTGTCCTGAGCGAACCACAAGATTTCCATTCTGTGCAAAGCCAAAAGCAACTCTCAAACTGATGTAAACGAACAACTGTATTATTTTTAAAGGAAGTCTTGAGGCTTCCTGCAACCCTGGTTTCAAAAACCGTTAGGCCAGCATCTATACCACATAAAATCTGTGATCACTTTGTGTCGTGACTTGGTTCAAACTATTACTATTGGGAACCATTGCATGGACAGCATCTGGATGCTGCAATTCGTAAGATTCTCTACAACACGCAGCTCTAGCTGTGTGCTCTATGCACAGAAGTCCACACTAAGTCAAACACTCGTTGCAAACATATCCAGAGTGATTAATTCCAATAACTCTGTCTCACTTCCAAACTTGTCCCAACTGGGCACAGAACAATAACTAATTCAAAAGGCAATCAAAAACAACTTTATCGCGCCAGCCTAAAGAAACATGATAAACAGCCGGCTGGTTCAACTCAAATGTAGCGATATGTGTACCTGAAGTAGCTGAGTACAACTTATGTATAGCATTCTAGCAGCTACCTGAAGCGTACCAGTCCTTCCCCAGACGCGCAAAAAAGAGACACTTCCCACTAATCCCGATATAACAGATTATTGACTGATTTTTGCCGCGAAAGCGAAAAAAATGTTCTCAAAGTTGAGAACTGTCCTAAATTGGTTCTGAGAGATGGAAGCCGTTTTACATGGCCTACGTCGTTTTACTTTGCACCGCCTCGTTTTATTTCACACCATGTATTCTTGACGGGACGCTCTTTCGACAGATACATTTTTAGTGAAGTTTCGTAGAGGAGACGTATATCGAAAATGTTGTGAACGAAGCTGAAATTGGCATTTTTATGCACATAATTTCAAGCCGAATTATCGCCAGAGCACGCAGCGTTTTCGGCCAGCACGAAGGCGGCAACATATAGAGATAAGCAATACCTATCACTTGCAAAACAAATCTGATCTGTTCACGACCTCCAAATACCTAAAATTCAGAACTTGCTGTGCTTGCTTGGCCCTGTTGTCTAATCCTCCTCACTACTGTACTCCACAAACCACCATTGCCGTCGCTCACACAGACCAGTGCACCAAGCGACCAGGTAAGAGAAACAAAGTTAAGATGTCAGACTTTTCTTCTGTGCTCCCTAGATGTGAACCGCCTGTTAAGCGAACAGTATTTCGCTACAACAGGGCAGACTGGGATCGCCTCAGGGCGCACCTTTGCAACGTGGAATGGGGTGATATCATCACGGACGACCCAGAAACTTCGTGTGAGCAGGTTGCCGCTTCGATAACTGCAGCTGTTGCACAGTTTGTCCCATCCGCCTTTCGGTCCGGTATGGTGGATGCCTGAATGCACCCAGACCGAGAGGGAGAAGGAGAAACGCTGGCGCGACTGGAGAAAACACCCTTATGACCCAGCACTTCAGCAGGCACTCACCAATTCCGTGACTGTAGCGATCGCCGCCCAGTTCCGATCACGACGTGCAAAGGAGGACAGCCTACGTCGCAGCCTTTCATCTGGGTCCCTCAGAGACAAACAGTGGTGGACGAAGTTGAGGAGCGCTGCTGGCAACCGCACACAGCCCGAAATTCCCCTAATTGTCGACTCTGACGGCCGCGAGTGGGCAACGAGCTCAGAGAAAGCAGAGGCATTCGCTCGCTTCTTCTCGAAGAAATGCAGCGTTGCCGGTCCGGACCTTGTGGAGGCTGACCTACCGGACCCTGCTCCCTCAGATGCTCCACCTCTTCGCACTATCCGCTTCTGCCCAGAGGCTGTGCGCCGCCTCCTGGCAAAGCTCGACGTCTCCAAGGCTACAGGGCCTGACGGTATTTCTGCTCGCGTCCTTAAGGAATGTGCCCACGAGCTCGCAGAGCCACTGTCCAAGCTATTTGCTTCATGCTTCCAGTCTGGAGTCCAACCTAGGATGTAGAAGACGGCCAACGTGGTTCCGATCCACAAGCGATCTTCCCGCTCAACCCTTAAGAACTATAGGCCCATATCCTTACTGTGCATAATCTCGAAACTCATGGAAAATCTAGTAAACAGACACATCGTAAACTATTTTGAGGACCACCATCTGCTCACGTCACACCAGTTTGGATTTCGCAGAGGCCTCGGCGAATCAGAAGCTTTGCAAGCTCTCCAAACTGCCTGGGCAACCGCTGTGGGCTGTAAAGGGGCGGCTCGTATCCTTGCTGTGGACATTGCAGGAGCGTTTGACCGTGTCTCACATGTCGGCCTCCTCCACAAGGTGCGCAGCCTAGGCATCGATGGTCCGCTCCAGAGATGGCTTGCCTCGTACCTGGACACCCGTTCCTTACAGTCCCTTGTTGGAGGGCGTACGTCAGCTTCGTATACGACCTCCGCTGGAGTCCCCCATGGAAGCATTCTTGGTCCAACGCTTTTCCTGGCGTACGTCAACGACGCGCCAGACGTTCTCGTTGACGGCGCCAGCTTGGAGGCCTATGCTGATGACACAACCTTATACAGCTTAGTCACCTCCCAGCAGACCCCGGAAGTCGCAGCGCAGTCACTGCAGGTGTCCGTTGACCGACTGCACGAGTGGGGCCGTACCTGGAAAGTGACTTTTGAACCAACTAAATCCCAGGCCATGACAGCCATCCTCAGACGCGCCGGCTTAGATCTCCCCCCCCCCCCCCCACTCCTGTTTGGTGGCACACTGGTGCCCGAGACAACCAGCATCACCCTCCTTGGTGTGAAGGTGGACGCCAAGTTGACCTTTGGCGATCACCTTCGCTCCGTAGCCACCCGTGCACGCCAACGGCTTGGGGTCCTAAACAAAGCCGCCCACATCCTCACCCCCGCCGGCCAGACGACAGTGTATCAGGCGGTCGTACGACCAGTCATGGAGTATGCGCCTCTTGCATGGATGGGAGCTGCGCAGAGTCACCTCCAGCGTCTGAACAATGTTCAGCGCCGCGCACTCCCTGCTATCGGCCCTGGGGCACACCTACCCAGCTTGGCCATCCGCCGTACTGTTGCCTCGCTTGCCTGCCTGTACAAGCTGCACTACTTGCCTGGTCCACCGCAGCTGCTCTCTGTGTTGCCACCGCGCCATATCACCTCTGCCAACCCCAGAACCCGCCTCGAGCACGGTAGTATCAGTGGCCATGACCACCAGCTCCAACACCAGCTGCCTGCATCTGCCCCGCTGGCGCTGAAGCGCTCGCTCCCACACTGCAGCATCAGCGATTGGAACTCCCTCCCTGCCGCTCTCCTGTCCCAGCCTCCCCACAGCAAGAGAATGCAATCATTCAAAAAAAACATTTATCGCCATATTCGCAGCACAAACTGGCTCTGGGCAGTCGATTCCCTATGAATAGTATGATGCTATGATAGTTTCTCCCCACACTCACTCTTGTTAAGCCTTGGGTTTTTCGCATTTTTCTGACCTGTACAGCTTTATCTTCTTTTTTTCCTTTTTTGGTGCGTGTTTTTGGCTGTGACGCCGAGACCTCAGGTCGGCAGAGTCATCAATGCCCCATCATCACTGCTGCGTCTAGGCACAGCGCCTGCTCATTACTTGTCAGTTTGTCCTAGTCTCCGTACCATTGTCTTTCCTTATTCTTTTCGAGCTGGTTATGTGAACATAGTAAAAAATAAATAAAAAATTTCACAAGAAGATTACAACAAGAAAAGAACCAAGAGCCACGATCGCCAAATCGCTGTCATCAGCAAGACGTGCCCGGGTGCGTGCATTGGCTTACGTGTACATCAGTGCGTGCATTGGCTTACGTGTACATCAGTGCGTGCATGCATGAAGATGAGAAAAGCAGATGATCACAAATCATGCATGATGCATCGATGAGTCAACGTGACCATGGATATAATAATGGCGACAGCAAAGTTAGTTCGGCGGCCAAAGCGCAGGTGCAACAAGGAAAAGTCAGAGTGCAGAACAAACAGAAACTCAAATCGAAAGGAGATAAAATATTGAAAAGATGAAGTGAATCGGTTTGGTCTGTCAGAGGATGCTTGCACCCAGCGACAGGGTGACAGCAAACCCTGTCAGAGAGAGAGTCAGTGTACAGAATAGGAATACATAGAACGCAGCACGCAATGGAGTTACTGTGGAGAGCGAGAATGCAAGCAACAACGTAAGTACTATTTATGCAACTAATTATATCGGCGTATTGTTATTGATATTATTATCCGACAAACACGCACAACACACAACACTGTATCGTTACAACGCACTCGTAAATGATGTTATCACAACGACACTCGGAAATGATGTTATCACAACGACACTCATTCTTTTTCAGCCCTATCTACATGTATGTTACATAGAGTATCACACACATTTGGCAAGAACAATGCACAACATTATAATACCGTCTTCTAAGCTGTAGTCTTCACTGGTTTACAGTTTTGGATATGTAGAGTAAAGCCTCATTCACACTTCGCTTTGCGTAAGGGAAACACGTCACAACGGCCGTTTGCGGCAAAAAAGGTGACTTGATCTTGAGTTGAGTTACTTGTTTGGTCTATCGCGCGACCTTCGCCTGTGCCCATTGCGTTCATGAAATGAAGTATAAATCAGTCTTGAATGTGCCAGTCCATTGCTCAGTTTTACCATGTTCTTGCCTAAGTCTGTTGTGATTTATCTTGAATCCGTAGACATTTCGCCGTATTGGTACCATCCGTTCCATAAAAATGCTGGTTCTTGTAATGGCATGCACCATAAAATGACATCTGTTCTATAACCGTAATAATCTGCCCTCCATATCTTCTACATTTAGTGAGATGTTGCCTAGGGCTGCTGCATTGTATGCATACAATTGTAGTTCCCACCACCTTGACACCGGCGGCGTATTGAACATGACATGTATGCATTGTATGCACGCCTATGGATTCGTCCTTTTCTCGCGTAAGTGTACACTCAAAATTGTTCTGTCTAATTGTATGGTCCCTGCCTAGACCATACAATGATCTAATCATGCAGTTTATACACACACGTAACTGGCTCACTCTGAACTGCTTTGAACTCGGAATGTCATTAT